CAACCCAAATCAGAGCTAAAGTAGTCCAAATTAGAGGCAAAAACATATTGAAATTAAGCTAAGTTAAGCTAGAAAAACATGCTACTACATAGAGCTAACTAGGCATGCAAGCAAGATACAAGAAGTGGAGGCTAACCCCTCCAATTTTGGACTTCAAAACATGTTTTTCACCATTGAAAAACCTCTAAAATTCAGTGGTTAAAAGGCCAAAAAAAAGTTGGTTTGAAAGTGTTGAACAAAAGTGTAAAGACTTTATAAACAAAGAAGTGAAGTGGTGAACCACCCCCTAACTCAAAAAGGCCTCAAACCATCATTTTTAAACCATAAAAACAGAGTTTTTTGGAGTTCAAAACTAGCTCAAAAATAGTGTAAAAAGATGGCAAAACAAGTATGGAAATTAAGCTAGCAAAGAGAAATTTTTACCTCTTGAAGGAACCTCAGCCCAAAGATAAGCAACTTTGGTTAAGGGTTGATAGGCAAACTAAAAGTATATCTCTACTTGTATGCACAAAAGTTCAAGAGAGAGAGAATTGTAGAGAGAAAGGATTGTAGAGAGAGAGGCTCCCAAATCTTTCCAACCTCAAAAAAAATAGAGAATGGCCTCTATATATAGAAATACAAGAGCTCAGGTCGAAAATATCAACAAAACAGACAGCTGGAGCATTTGGGAGACAGTTGGAGGAAAATATCTACAAAATCTGACCTTTTTGACACTTGTGGCCGGCCTGCCACCACTGGTGGTTGACGGCCATCACTAATGGTCGATCTCCATCATTGGTGGCAGACAAAATGCACCTCTAGCCGACACATGGCCAACAAGCTTCACTGGTGGCCGATAAGCAAAAACTGGTTTCTGGCCCTGACTTCAAACAAGCATATCTCCATCATCTGGACTCCTTTGCAGGTCATTCTTAAGCCTAAATTGAAGCCCCGGAAGTATTATTTCCAATGGTGGCTGCCTCACATCAAAATTCCAAGTGTGTAAAAAGATATTCTCATTTTAGTGAAGATTGCTCACTTTCAACTCAATCGGATTGATGCCTAACTTCTCCTCAGCTAGTTTTCTTCCCTTCTCTCCTCTTTTCTTCAACCCCAAACCCCTAAATAAGGTGTTTTGAAATATTTTTCAAAAAGTTCACCTCTCTTTCATTCATTTCCACTTTGTCCTTACTCAGTTTACCGAAACGCGCAATATTTAACGAAACGCGAGCCTCGGAACATCGTAGAAAATTTTTTCAAAAATATTTTGAAAGAGAGGGTTTTAAGGTCTAAAAATCATTTTGCTCAAAAGGCTTTGGTCCAAAAAGGGGTTTAAGATTGGGATTTGAAACTCTTCTTGCCGAAGAAATTGAACATTTGCACAACAAAGCCTTCGTCCTGCCTTCGTCTTCGAACAATCAACCTGAGGCTCTCAAGTCTTAAGAGCGGTCAAAAATTGGGTGTCTACACAATCAAAGACAAATCAACACACCAATTTAACGGGAAAAAATCACAATTGAAGCGCCTCCAATTGTGATAAAAAAATCACGGGCCAAAGCCACGAAACAATCCACTAAGAAGACAAAAAGGAATTACACATATGTACCCACAACACTAATGTCGAATCCACAACCATGAGTCACTCCGGAATTCACTAAAGCTTCATGCCCAAGTTCCTCGGAATCCACCGAAGAACAACTCTTTCTTTTGTGAATAAAAAACAAACAAACAAACCCCTTGATGATGTTGACACAAAGTTCATGGATCCATTGATCACTCTTAAATCATCAAAAAAAACCTCATAAAGCACCATCCAATATAAAACTCTTTGTCTTGTTCTTCCTCTCTGAAAATCTGGATGGCTCAAACCCTAAAACGAGCAAACAACGCACCTTATAGTAAAATGGATCACGAAAACCGCTCGAGTGCAACATTCACCGCTCGAGCGATAAACCTTGCTTCCTAAAAGTTCAGACATTCTACAAAAATACTAGATGATCCTTTTCTCCACTTGAGCGCACAAATGACCGCTCGAGCGGTCAAACAACCTTTACTGCATTTTTGTTTTTTGGTTCGGAGGCGTTGGCCCTCGACCCCGGTTGGGTGCTGACCCGAACCTGCCATGGGGCACTGCTCCCTAGAACCCCGCGAGTTGACTGAGCAACTTGATCCCCATACATAGTCAGCGAAGTGAAAAACATGAAAGCCTCAAGATCATAAACTCCTATTCATAAGTACAATTCGGATTGGATTCGTATCTAAACACTCACATCCTTACTAAAACAAAAGGGCAAATAATATTACAACTGAAAGGAGTTTTGTCTAATGGAATTGCCAATTATAAAAACCTAACAAGAATTAATTAAATGAGTGTTGAATTATTAACCATCAACTCGTCTAAAAGCTTAAATTGTTATAGTGAAGGGAAACATTATATTATATTCTCAACATGCTCCCTCACATGTGGCCGAACTTTTCTTCATAGCGAACCAAACATGTGTACGCATTTTAATTATCAGGTAGGCAATGATGTTTGAACATAAGACCTATTACTGCTCTGATACCATATTAAAATATCCAAGTCAAAACTAATTAGCTATAAGTGGAGAGGCCCTTACTTTATATTAAACAAACTTGAGTGGCTTATATTGACCATGTCAAATTTAGTCTAACACTCCCTCTCTTGTGCAGCCCAATAACACATGGCAGTGATTGAGAGGTCCAGTTAAAAGACGGATCGTTGAACAGTAGAGTGGGTGATTGTAGAAGAGTGATCGTAGAAGAGAAAAAGGGACGGTAGTAGTTAATGTGGTTTTAGTAGTGGTGGATGAGCTTCTCATAGTGGAAGGTTGGAAAGAGAAAAAAAAAAATGAAAATGAAAAAGAGAACATAGTCTAGTTTCTATTGCTCTAATACCATGTGAGAGCAAGAAAGTTTTCTTTGAGATTAGCCAACCGGGTTGATCTTGATAATGCCAAGTATCATAGGTAGGATTAATAGTAGTATTGTTGGGACTAAGGAACCATAGAGAACATGAGTTCGTCCCATCAATGAACATCATTGCCATGGAGCTGGGGAAGAACTTAACCACAAGTGATAATTATCAAGACTGAGGCAAGTGGTGATAATAGTAAAGTGGGAGGTCGTGGACTAGAAGAGAGAACGGGTAGCGGTTGATGTGGTTTTAGCAATGGTGGATGATCTGCTCATAGTGGAAGGTTAAGAGAGAAAAGAACATAACATGATCTAGTGTCTACAGTTCTAATATCATATTGAATGGTTGACCATCAACACATCTAAAAGCTCAAACTGTTAGAGAAAGGGACAACTTTATTATTTATATTATATTCTTAACAATATTGAATTGTTGACCACCAACTTATATAAAAGCTCAAGTTGTTAGAGAGAGGAGCAACTTTATTATTTATGTCATATTCTTAACACGCTTCCTCATGTGTGGTCGCACATACAATCATTTTTTAATAATCGGGTTGGCTGTAAGATCCAAACACGGGATACATTGGCTAATACCATATTGAGACATGAAAGTGTTCTTTGATAATTTTATTAACACATAGGTTACAATTTATAGGCTGTGTATGGCACTTGAGTAAGGATAAGATACAATATGTTTTGAATTTGAAACAGAGACTAAATAACAGAAGTTGGTAATTGAATACGAGGATAAATTCTTATCTCTAAATCTATGAAAGTGCATAGCAAAGCTAATTCACTATAACAGTATTGAAAGTGAAATTATACAGTTGCATTCCATTGTTTCAATGAGCATAAATGATTGTGTGGTTATGGATATTTCTTATCATTTTCTTTCAAGACTGGTGACATTCAAGTACAAGCTCAGCAAAATCTTTTAATATGATATAATGTTAGGACTTTTTGTTGTTAGGCAATCTTGTTAAACAAACACTGTTTAATTATAATTGTATCTGTTCTTTTCCCCTTATGTGAGGATGAGAATGTTTTAGATGTAAATCCAATTCAGTTTGATACTAGTGTTCCTTTATTGTTTTGTTCTTCGTTCAAACAGACATCAAGCAATCTTTTCACTCTCGCAATTTCTTAGACAGATAAAACAAGAAACCGCAAAGTGTCATAGTCCGCTTGAGCGATCATGAGTCTGCGTGAGCGATCTTTGCTACCTTGCAGCATCTCAACACTTCATTCTATAATCTTGCAGTCTTATAAATCGCTCGAGCAGTGTTAAGTTCACTCGTGCGGTCTAATTCGGCCAATTCAATTTTAACCACGCGTTTGAGATTAGATCTAGATCTAGACTCCGATTCACTTCCTTGAAGTGTGAAAAATAAGCTCGAGCATTCCAGTGAGATCCAAACTCTTACCTTGATTAATTGAGATTGATCTATTGATCGTAGCTCCATAGATTGGATATCATCAAGGATTTCTACTTCAATTACACTTTTCAAGGGAAGAGTTCTTCCGTGGATTTCGGGAATTTAAGATATTGGAAACTTTGGTGGATTCTAGAGTGAGCTTACCATCGTGGATCTGACTTCGGAGAAGCAATCCATGGTGTGATGGTATTGGAAGTGGCAGAAGAGATTGAGTCAATCGGACATGGATTCGCTAGGTGATTGGATGAAAATTCTTCATGTAATCCCTCTTCTACATAGTGAATTGTTTTGTGGTCGTTGACCAGAAATTTTTTTTATAACAATTAGAGGTGTCCAATTATGGTTTGTCCACGTTAAATTTGTCTTGTCCTTAATTTTCTTAGATCTAATTTGACTTCTTTGAATTAGATTAGATTAGATCATATTGTGGTTGTGTAATTTGTTCAAATGGTTGAGTGATTGGTGGAATTGAATTCTAAGTACAAATCAACGTATATCAAACTTAGGGATTTACCAAATTTCATTTCAAAAAGTCTGGTGATCTATTAGTACCACAAATCATAGTCATCAAAGGCATCATTGTTCTTTTCTGTATACATTAAAAAGAAAAATTCCAACCCACAACAGTCTTTTTACATCAATAAAATATGGAAAAGAAAGAACTGCATGTACTCTTTTTGCTTCTCTTCTTACAGAAAAACCTCTTCTACTTCGACAACTATTTACCAACAACAAGCCAACTTACAATCTCAAGCTATGGGAATTGGATTGATACATATTAGAACATTTCCGGTAGAGGCATGCCTTGTAAAAATGACTGGAATAGTACAAGCGATCTCCCCGGCTGTGAGAAAGGAGCTTCATGAGAAGCACCTCTAATGGTGGCGAATGAGAGGGTATCACCATAAACTTGAGTCCATCCACCAACCTGAATACAGCAATGCAAGCACAAAAAATTACTGTTTATAGCATTTTTGTCATTCAACACTATATCATAAAAGTGAACAGATCGTTTTGTTGTTGACACTTTTTTTTGTTTCCAAAATTGTCCATCAAAAATCACTCTCTGACCTTCCATAGAACTTTGTAAGGGTAAAATTATAGAATTCACCAGTCAAAATCAAAATTTTAAATAAACATTTGTTTCTAGAGATTACCTGTTGCCCTCCAAACCAAACACGATATGGTACAGTCGTGTTCAATCCCAATTGATTTGCCAGCCCACGAACCAAGGTTCGGCTTCCAGTCAGTGGAATAACAGAATCTTGATCACCACTGCTCGCAAGAATTTGTAATTAGCATAACATCAAGAAAGACTGCAAAACTTCCAGCCAATCTAATTAACGATCATGAATGAACCATGACTCTGATTTTTCACCTCACCTGTAAACCAAGACTCGAATTCCAGCCTTAATAAGTTCTCCAACTAAAGAGATTGTAGGTATCTCCACATCTAGCAGCTCATAATCTAGAATGCTGTGGTAAAACAAGAAATGGTCAAATTTTCTAGCTGTGGCTCAATTCATACAATATAAGTCATTTTCTCATTTTCCTAAGAAATTTTTTTCTTGTTGTTACTTCATTTTTTTGGCAATCAATTAGGATATTAAAGGCAACACACACTCTCATATATTCTCTAATCATCAACCAATTATATCACTTACACATCATTGAGTTCAGAAAATGGGTCTAGAAAGTGGACTTCAAATCAGCTTTTTTTTTAGGAAGCTTCTTTTTATATTCTAGATTCCAATTTGACTCAATCTGTTATTTTTGTCAATTTTTTTTGACTTTATGTAATCTTGGCCCTATTTGGGGCAAGCAATGTTCAATGTAAATTGAGTTGTATGCCTTTGAGACTATTCAGTTGTTTTGAGTAATAAATTTTCAGCCAAGTATATCTTTTCTATATTGCTCGTGTTTTCCTTGTGTTCTTGTTCATTCTATAAGCTTCCCATACATCACTATCTCAGTTAAAAAAGGGGAGGAAGAAGAAGAAGACATACTCACTGCAAACAACCCATCTGTTTACTCCAACAAGCCGGGCATGAAATGCGTTCTGCACATCTTGTCTGTTTAAATAATTGACAGTTTCATCTTCGACGCACACATCAATCTTTTCACCAACTTGCTGCAAGTAAGAAAAAGACAGATAATTACAAACAATATCACATAACAGAACTGAACAAATTAGAGTGAAATGAAAAAGCAAAGAGACTTTGAGAAGGGAAGGCCTACTTGAGGACTAATTTTCTTGGACTGTGAAAGCACGGATGAAATACAGACATCGAGTGTGACATCATATTTGTCCACAAATCTACTGGTTTCTCTGCTCACTTGGCTCATAACCTTTGAACAAACAGGTGAAACTGAGCTTCTGTAATACTCGCTCACATACCGCGAATAATTACATGAAGAAGTGAATATTTTGTATGTCGAATCTGATATTAACCCATGAGACCAAAAGAACTCTGCCCTTGAATTAAAGTCTGTAGCGAACTCCAAAACCGGATTACCCAACTGCAACAGAAAGAAAGGAAAAAGGAAATCAGTTTAGCTAGTTGCAATTGATCATTAGAAATATGATGTTATCCAAAGTATATAGGCTTTTTCACACCACCATTTCCGTGTTTAAAAGAAGAGATGACCACTTTTAAGTAGACAGAAGGGATAGACTAACATTTTGGCCCTAAATGGGTTATTTTTATATTTTTGTTTTTTCAAAAACAGTTTTTTGGAAGAAGTTCCCCAAACAAAGAGATGATGGTGTGGGCTACAAAGGGTACCTGCATAGCTTTCTCCTGTGATGAACAGATCCCTATGCAAGTATTGGGGGAACTTGAGGAACCATCTTTGCAAGAACACAAGGTTATCCCTGGCTTCACAATTATTAAAATATGAACTTAGCTTTAGAAGAGACAGAACTTAATTAATAACAACTCAGACAACAAATAGAACTCAATTTTCTCTACCCACAAACATGTGTACTTTATAAATTAGCATGAATTCAAGTAATGTAACAGTTAACATTTTAGTGAAAGCTAAACTAGGATAGAATGTAGAAAACCCTTACTTATAAAGGAAAATGATTTGACTTATAAAACTAAGCATATAGTCTTTTTGCTGTTACTTCTAAACAAACACCTATGCTTACATCAGTAAATTGTGTCCTCTATATTAGATTAACAATGAAAATTTAAAGAATGGTGGCTTTGGCTATCTGCTAAGAAAGACGTTTTGGGTTCCATTCCCACTGTTTTTGAGACCACCCTAGGATTTATGTCGGGTAATTATTTAGCATGTGTGAGGTGAGGTTTACGAGCGTGTTTGGTGCAAATTTCAACAAGTTGAAACCTCTCCCTTACTCCCAATAATAAGCTTGGCACATACTTCAAAAAAAATATAATATATATTATATAACCAACTCCATAAACTGCACCAAACAGCTCTTAAAATAAAATAAAATGAAAATTGAAAAAGAAAAAAGAAAAAAAGAAAACACACCATGATAAAACTCCGAACACGCCATGATAAAATAAAATTAAAAAAGAAAAAAGAAGAAGAAGTGAATTACAAGGATGAAACATACCAGTTTGTTGATCAGAGACTGCCTCATAGGAGGAGGCATCAGTTGAATAAGAAAAACCCACTCCCACTGGGGTTTCCAAATACAACATGTTTGCTTCTGAAGAATCATATGTTAGAATAAAAACATCAATTTTTATTTTTTTTTTCAACTTTTCCAAGAAGGATTACATAATTTTGATGTGAATAACACGTACCTCTGTTCCAGCTATACTCATTTTTAACCAGAACCTGCCCATTTGGCCTAAAAGGTCCATTTTCAGAGAATGCCCCCACTCCCAATGAAGAACACCCAGGCCCTACAATAATACATATTTCAAAATTAAACACATTTAAAATTTAATTTTCTATGTTTATTATTATTATTTTTTAACCTGGTTGAGCTTTAAAATCCAAAGAAATATACAGAGAAATTGCAAACCTCCATTTAACCAGAGAACAAGAGGCTTTGAAAATGGATCAAATTCAGCCTCAACAAAATAGTAGAAGAGAGATTTTTGTTTCCTGTCATCCACAGTGACATAGCCTGAGAACTGTTGAAACCCCACAAAGGGTTGTCCAGGCAACCAAGCAATCTTGTCAGCCTCAGAGAATGGAAAGGACTCAACAACAACAAGAAGACCACCCATCATTAAGAAACAAAGCTCGAGCACTAATAACACAGGCACTGCCATGGATTTCCAAGTTACTGAATTCAAAACTTGGAGAGGAATGAAGAAATGGCTTGTACAGAGAGCACTTTGAGTGAACAAAACTGTGGTGGAATGGAAGGGCTAATATTGCTGCTGCTGCTGCTACTGCTCAGTGGAGGGCATGACTCATGAGCCTATTGGTGAGGTGGGCCACATGTAGCAATGTCTTGTTTTTTTGTTATCATTACATTGTTAGCTTTTTTGAACTTGCTTGCAGGCCTGAAAATGGAGAGAGAGAGAGAGAGGCATATGGGTGACTTGAAATAGCATGTGAGGGTTGGTGTACTGAAAGTGAAAGAAGAGAGAAGGAAATTTAGCTGCTTTGAAAATTTTGAAATTCTTCCATAGATATTACAACAGTTTTGCTGCTTTTGATTAGTTTTGTTTTCCCAATAAATACATGTGAATACAAAGTGAAAAACCTGTGTATATTTTATCACGTAGGCCTTCCATGCTTTCACAGCTAGAACGAAGGCAAAGGGTACATTATGTTCCATGGAAAGTCGCTTTACAGGATTGCTTTCCATTTTTCACAGTGGAGTCTTCCCAACTCCCAAGAAAAAATAATAAAGCCATCGTAGAATTTTATTTAGAAATATTAATACGTGATCATTGGGTATATGAATCTCATAAAACACTATTTCAATCATACATAGCATTTTTTAACCATTTCTTGATAAATATATATATTTTGGAACTGTAGCATTAGTGATAGAAAGAGAAATGATATGCAACTTCATTTTTTAGATTTATTTTTTAATTTAATAATGTATAAGTGAGATGATTAATAATGATTAAAAAAAAATTGTTTTAAATGTTTTAATTGATTATCACATCATTAAGTTTAAAATATAAGTCTAATTTTTGAATTAGAATAACAATGCTTAAAGAAAATGTACCATGTGAGATCATTTTGATGTCAAAATAGTAATAAAAAAAATTAATTAACTTTGACATGTTGGAGTTTATCCAATGACTACATGAGCTGTTATTGCAAAAAATAAATAAATAAATAATTGTTAGGATACTTAGGCTCCGTTTGGTTTAGTTTTTTAAAAGAATTTTGAGTTTTGAATTGTATTTTGAAAGATAAGTTTTTGAAAAGAGTTCTTAAAGTAAAAACTTGTTTGGTTATAAGTTTTGAAAATAATTTTGAGATGATTTGTAGGTTTTTTTTTTTTTTTTATAGTTCAATAGGTGTGAGAGAAAAATTGATTGATTGATGTATAGAATGTGAGAGAATAAGAAAGAAAAGAAGAGAGAGAAGAAAGAAAAAATGATTGATTGATGTGTAAAAAAAAAGAGAGAGAGAGAAGGAGAGAGGAGAGAGAAAAATATTTTTGAGTTGTATTTTGAAAGATGCTAAACCAAACATGTTTTTGGATATTTCAATCCAAAAGTTGATTTAAAATCTAAACCAAACAGAGCCTTAACTTTTGGATAAATTATACTCACCTTCTTTTTAAGGTTTAAAAAAATATAATTAATCCCACATTTTTTATATAATTATATGGACTTTCCTTTTGTAACGTTAAATCGACTAAAATTAATGTAGATAGTGGGTAAACATTCAAATAAACAAAGATAAATATATATATTTTATTAGATAAGAGATTTTTGGGTGGATAGTAGATAAGAGATAAAATACTATTATTTTTTCTTTCATATGACTAATGAATTATTGATAAAAAAATGACCTAATTGTTATGTAAATTAAACACAAGGGATCTCAATATAATTATGTCAAAAGTATAAGACTACTTGTATTTTTTCTAAACCTCAAGGAAGGTTAGTGTAATTTACCCAAACTTTTTCATCTCTAATTGTTAGTTATATGGGCTGCTACATATTAACATTATTATAATTATGGCATATTTTGTCAACTGATTTTAACCTACTTTTTAAAATAGGCATATGTCAAATTTAACATAAAGTTTAGTTATATGCAAATTTTAACAAGTTCTTTTGTCTCTACTTTTCTCATGTCGGACTTGCATTTAACATTTTAATTTCACATTTTGTAAGAAATAAAATAAATAATATTTACACTATTGAAATATCATAGATAAAATGTAACATTTTGTCATTATTTATCTTTGAAATATAATAATAGCTAGCCATTTACCTATTGAATAATTGGAGATGAGCTTAAGTTATATGGCTTCTTATTATTTTGCCTTGGAAACTCTAAAATTTCTACTCCAATAAGCATCTCCAGTGATTCACTTATTAAAATCCTAACTATAGTTATAATTTAGCAATGTTGCTAATGATATTTTGCTATATATTTAATTACAACCACTGAATTGTACTTTCATACTTTTAATCACAAACATCACTTAGAGTAATTCTATTTACACACTATACAAACTCTCAGTACATACTACAAATAGTGTTCGGATATAAATTTTTAAACAAAAGTTAAATATCCGGATATAAATTTGTAAACATAAAGTAATTGCTCGGATATAAACCATTGAAAAAATGTATATTTAAAAAATTTATTTTTATTCATAACTTAAATCAAAACATTTGATATTTGTTCAAAAATTTATATCCAAAACACCATTTATAATATGTACTTAGAGTTTGTATAGTATGCAAATAGAAATTCCCAACCACTTATTATCATTTCTCTCACCATTTGATGAGTTGGCAATTTTTACTAGCACAATGGATAGCAATATTAAATTATAGTAATGGTTTACCTCACCATTGGAGAGGTGATTTTGGAATTTTTTGGAACTCCGAAACAATTTAATAATGTTTTCAAAAGTTTTACTAATGAAGTATATGGCTTGTTATGTATTATTTATAATTAGATTTCGCATCAAATGGGAAATTTTATTTATACACCACTCACTTTTTCAATACCCACCATTTATATATTTTTTTATAACAATTTTATCCCTCAACTAAATTACCCTTTTAGACATACACGACACATTCAATCACCACTAACTCTCCACCTCTAGTTCGGGTTCAGTTCCGGCACCGGCGACGGCACCGACCATTCCTCAACCTTTGTCACATCTTCTTCTTCTCTCAATGTTCTTCATCTTCTTGTCTCAATCTCCACCTGTAGCTGGCTTTTTGTGCTTCTCGGAGGGGTTTAGTCTCCTCGGATACGATAGCCCTACAATTCGGACTCCCGTGGTTCTGAATCTAGTTTCACAAGTACAATGTGAAACAGAAAATAAATGAGAGTCCAAATCCGAAAAATCCTAAAAAATCCATTAATCATTAGAGATACAAAAAATAAACTGCATTACAAGATTTCAAAGTCGCTACTTAAATATTTTTGAGAAATTTAGGAAACGCGTGACTTGTGCCAAAGGTCACTTGTCCGTCATAGCCAAAGTTGTCTCGGTTTGGGAACTTAGGTATGAGAGGGGAAGGTCATGAATTGAGTACCTCACTCACCCGATCAAAGATCGGCCTCTACTAATCATGATGTGATTTTTATTAATATTATATACTCTTATTTTGATTTTATTATGCTAACTTACTATGTGAAGCATACAAGTATAGACTGTTTTGCTTGCTTTGGAAATGACTTGATTTTATGTTATTTTTAAAAGAGTTTTGAGTGCACACAACTCAAAAGGAAAGAAATGTCGTACATACATTTGATCAAAATCATCCCCAATGCAAGTAAAATAACCTTCATCCATAGGCATTCAAACAATTCATTTCGAGTAAGCACGTAGTCTCATGGTAAAATGCTAAGCATTGCAACAATTACATACATAAATATGCTAAAACAAAAAATGTTCACCGAGTATTCCAAGGTAAGCCAATAGAAAAATAAAGCAATTAGAAAAATGTGTGCTCCTAATATGCGAAGTGACTAATGCAACACATGTAAGAATGCAACTATTAGGTTCGGCTTATTATTCCATATGGATTAACTCAAAGCATGTAGTAATGCACGTATTCAAGTAAGTAGGAAATGACAATGATATTAAAAAATGATGAACTGAACCTTAATGCATGCAAAAATGGATGTAAAGCATGGCAATGACATGAAACAAAAATATGATACTGCATACAACCATAGTAAGCATATAAATAAAAAGGAGAAAGAAATGGGTGTTGGAAGACATAAAAATATTACAAATTTGCTCTCATACAAAGAGGTCCAAATAGCCTAATTACAAAGGGGTCCAAATAGCCTAATTACAAATTTGCTCCCAAACATAAATGAATGAACAAATAAATTAACTAATTATTACAAGTCCGAATGAAAGTAACTAATTAATTACAAATATGAATTAAATGAGCTAATCTAAAGGATTTAAACGAAAGGCAAGGAATCACTTGCGCACAACCAAGAACATCCTCTGTAAACCCCCTCTGATTGAGCACGGAAGCTACCACCTAGCTTCAAGGTGGACAACAACTATATGAAAACAAGAAATTTACACTAGATAAGTAAACTTGTGACGGGGTGGTTAAGCCTAACCTCTAATCCTTCCATGACCACAAGGTTCTAAGTTACATTAGGAAAGCTAAAAACGATCAACTCAACGAATTGGCCGCTATATCATAAACACGCCAAATCCGAGAGGACTTAAAACAACACAAATATGATATTCAAAGCATAAGAAGTAAGAGCAAAAGTAGCGGAGAAGACTAGAACCCTTTTATAAGTCCATATTCAATTTATATCACTCAAAAACAATGCTAAAAAGGTACTAAAATTTAAACAAAACAAAGTAAAAAGAAGGTAAAAAAATGAAAGAAAAACAAAGGGGTGCACAACAAGTGAACTAGCCAATGAAATGGTGGCTAGCTCGCTCACTTTTAACAAACTTTTAATTACATTTTAAACTTAAAAACAACTCCGAAATCATTATGAAAGTACAAGAAAAAGAGAGAGAAAATATGGTTGAAGAGTTCAAAGATCACCTCTTGAAAGAGAGGATGTTCTTCTTAGTTCACAAATCACAAGCTAACCGCTCTCAAGAAGCTGAAATTGTGTTCAAGAATTTTAGCAAAAGCTTCAAGTTTTTTCTTGTAAGGTGTATGTATTGTGTATCTATATTGCAAGCGGGTAAAGAAGATAGTTGGGCAAGCTATAGGCTCTTGGAGAATTTTTCTAACCCCAAACCATGAAAGGGGGTGTTGTATTTATAGAAAACAACTTCTCATGTCAGAAATATCTGTAAAGAAGACAGCTGGTCCAAAGCATGTGCATAGGAGTAGCTGGCAACTGTCAAAATATCTGCTATGCTGAACATGACCGGCCAGCCATGAGGGTG